TTACCGCCTCTTGTACATTTGCATTTCATGTGCTAATGCTTAATACTAATATTAAAATAAATAATTTTATATTTATTGAATATTCTAGCAACAACGAATCTTCGTGAAGTATCCGCACTAGAAGACAGAGAAACGACGAGAAATACAAATCGGATATCGATCATATAACAAGCTATACTGCCGGCTGATCGTAGCTATACGTTTTAGCAGTACGGCTTAAAATCCAGTAAGTGTTTCACCATCACTAAACCTGCTTTTCTGTGTGAAAAAGGTATACGCTATTTCCGAAGTATGAACGACGTTGGTTTACCAGAAGCAGTTAAGTGTGATTTTCAAGTGAAGCTAGGTTTAAATGAACAAGCGTAAAATATAAGACTGTGAGAAATTTGGTTTGACAGAAAATGCATTTATGAATAAAGCATAAATCAAAAAATATTTTACCATATTCATTTAACAAAGCGGAAGGTGATTTGAAGCGTATTCATTATAAGTACATACGTTTAAAGCGGTTATCAGGAACAAACATGACATCGTTCTTGCAACAGACATGCCTGGACTATGTGAGATATAAAATTGAAAGACATATCTTGATTATAATTAAGGTTCTCAGAGGCTCATATAGTAGGAACTGAATTAAATGTAAAAATTCACATGCCGGAGTGAAGTGCGGTGCAGCAAAATCACCTTGACAGATACGGTAACCTTCTAGGTTCGTAACAAACGTTGAAAAATGCAACCAGGGAGCGACTCAACTCCTTATATCGTTTTTGAAGAAATTTATACTCTGATTGCTATTCGGCTGAAGTACTGGGGATCACGCATCCTATTTCAGGAAGAAGCATGGCAAAATCTATTCATTAAGTCGTTGACTTTTTGAGTAGCAACAGCTGACTCTTGATGTGGTCGCACATGTGGTCCATAACTGGATGATATATTAAATTTTGTACGATATGTCAAACTAATTCTTTCAAGATTTTGTGATGGGAAGGCATAATTTTAAGCTTAACACCCTTCTGAACGATGATAAACATCTTCGCAGATTAGAAATGTTCCAAAATGGTCTGATTGTTGAGCAAATATAAACTCTGCTAATTTAAATTGTCCCTTAGTAGAATGAGACTAACTCAATTAGGTTTCAAACGGAACAAGAGTTTGTGGCATTGAGACCAGAAGAAGTTGAGTAAACTGGAATTCTAAAGTTCAGATGAAATTATTGGAAATCTACTCCAAGCTCTGCCTTTCCTGGTTTTAATGATTAAATAGTTGGTAGAAGCTTTT